TCTGACAGGAGTTTGGCTAGTTGTCAGAGGTACATTTAGAAGAATAAAAGTGGCAGAATAGCATTATTTACCGCCCTGAAGCTGAATAATGAAGGTAAGGGACCCCTAGTTAGGTTTACATCTTTGTCCCATGGCCAGGCAGCACGCTCACACTTCTCTCTTTATCCTGTAAACACAGCGAGAAATAAATACTCCCCTCTTGGATGAAAACGTAGACAGCTCTCGTCTTTTTTGGACGGGTGAGGAGCAGTGCTGAGGGGCCTCACAACTGGAACCAGATGGCTTCTTAATATGTGCATGCCTTTGCACGAGTGTGTGCATGTGAACGTGAGCATATGAGTGTGCTTATACGAATTAGTGTCATAGTGGTTCACAACCTTGTACAGCATGTGAAGCAAATCGGCAAAAGAGCCAACAATTAGCTCTAATCCTACCTGAAACAGTGGAAAACATGGCATTGTAGCTGTGAGGGCACAGGGACAAGTGAGGGGAAACATTGTCCTTTATTGTTGTCCATAAATGAAGAATGACCTTAACTACATTGTTGCTCTGCATGTGGTTGTGGGTTCACAGCCAAACAGAGTATATCAAAACCGAGTGAGGGGAGTGATACCATCAAACCTTCCACTGATCTACTTTTGCTATCATTTGTGATTTTAAAAGCAAGAAACACTCAACTCAGCTTCACTTTTTGGGCTGTTTGCTGCCTCAGATTTCTGCTCTTTGGCACAATGTTGTTTAGGTTGGCCTCATTGGGTGACTCTAAGTCCATGATCCCATTTTGGGGTCTCTTTAGGGGAAGTAGAAAAGGCCATTTGATCTTCCTCTGTGTCTCATGGGTGCGATGTGATATGCATGTTTTTAATTATTCCCTGCTTGCTTTTCACTCTACAGTCACAAAAAACATGACTAGATATTTGATTTGATCCGAAGGTGCATTTTGAAAGAGTTATAATACAGATATTTAAAACCATACTGTAGGAATGACAAAGAAATCTATGAATATATGTTGACACTTCCCAGAATTAATTGTACCTAATGCAGAGAACTCGATTTAACTAGAATCTTTACAAAGCAAAAGCATTCATTTCAAGCAGATTTGTTTTATTAGGCAAGTTAGCTACTGGAATTATTGTTTTTATGTGTATACGCAGAACAGCAGATGGCTTAGTGTAGATCTGGCAAAGTGTGTGGAAAAGACAGACACTGTGTTTTGGAGCACCATGATAACCCGCAGGTGATCTTATCTTCTCAAGTCAAGGCGCTGACATCCCACACACACATACAGGCACACACATCATAATAAAAAGCCTTCATTTAACAGTGTATACTTCCATGCAAATGTGTTGTTAGCAGCCAGGAAAACATCCTCCAACACGGTTTGCAGAGGGATAATGGTAGAGAATGTACTGCTCATTGACTTCCATCTTAACAACCACAGCATTTTCAGTTGTCAACCTGAAGATCAAAACTATCAATTTTACTAAATGATAGCACGAAAAAGAAGTGCAAGTCAACAGCGGTCACGATGAATTATGTCTTGGGCCCAGATTAAAAGAGGTTGCAAAAGACAAGGCAGATAATCCACTAAGAATGTGTAACCTCTTATTACAGCTGCCACTCCTCAGCTGACATCAATGTGTTGACAGATGAACCTGCTCTTAAAGGGCAATATCAACAAAGTATAGCTTTCAAATGCATTATTTTTACATTTGTAAACAATTACTACTAAATATGATCAAAAAAGTAAGCTTGAACCACCCACTTCTTTATGATCCACATTCATAAAATATCATTTGTTTGACTGTGGGAGTTCAAGATGATGTTTAGAGGATCAAGGAGAAATGTCTGGATTGCAGTTCATAGATTTACAACCTCAAATGTTAGCCTAGTAACGCATGAATATAATTAATTGCAAGGGCAGCAGCTTCTGACTGAACATCTGTATGAACTTTACAAAGCTGCTGTTGATTACTAAACATGTGCCATTTGATATTTCTTAACTGGGTATCCTCAGTTTAACATCCAGCGGTCCACACTCTCTCTTTCCCGGTCTTTAAATTCTCCATACCATCACATCACGGCAATTCGTGCAGCCTTAGAAACAAAATGGCACGTACAAAGAGGACCTACTCTACTGTACTTGCAGACAACACTAAAATAGGCACAGGATTGCTTTAATCAGGCCCTTACTACCACATCTAGTCTACCGACAACAATAACAGCCCAACAATTTAAACAGGCTGTGGCCAATGCTAACACGCAGAGAGGGGTGAGTGGGGTTTATTTTCTGAATCCCAGGCTGGTCGAACAAATATAAACAAAGATCAAACCTTTACCACTACTGGTCATCTATTCAAAAGTACTTTTCTCTTCTATCCCTGAAAAGGACTAATGTGCATGTATAACATGGATACAGACAAATATACAAAAGAGCTTTATACTAATAAGGCTACATTACAGACAACTCCGAGAGATAAACATTTGTATTGTGGCTGATCTGCACTTTCATTACACACAGAGCATGGACTGCTTAATTGTGTGACTAAAACAAATCACTGCATGACAGAGGATGTGGTCGAAAAACAGTTTAATAAACCATTAGCTCTTTGGGCTAGCACTTTCCTTCCTCCACTGACTCTGATGCAAAGAGAACGCCTGGTCCATATGTATGTGAGCGCTAATGACTATGATTAGAGAAGCCTGGATTAGGGTTTACTGTGGTTCATGACACATGCACACAGACACACACTCTCAACACACAAACCAAAAGCTAGCCTTGTGATTAAAATTTGGAGAAACCCCAAAAACCAGATAACATAAACAAAGTGATGTACTTCTCAATTAAAACGTAGAATACACGCAATTGGGTTTTCCACATAATAATTCTACATGACACAGGTTACATACATGACTGTAACCAACTCATCACTCTTGTTAATGGAGCGGGGAAATCTTGACAACATGGGTATGCTATTTCAGAAACCAATCAAAAAGGGAGGATTCATTTAAAAGTGATTTTAAACCAATCCCATCCAAACATCCTAGTTTATTTGAACCTATAGCAAGACTGGTGCTATTATTCAAGCTTGTCAGCCTCAAACAAAAGGAACATTTCTAAAGGGTTTCAAGCATCTTTACATGTTGTAGATGCAATTCGCCTAAGGCCTACAAATTATTTACTGCTTTATTTAAATTGCACAACCTTTCTTATTAAAGAAAGACAAAAGACTATGGCCAGCAACAACAATTACAAATCACTGACAATAGAAGGGATGCTCTTTAGGGATATGTTAGCACAAATTAACTGACAGCAGGGTTATGCTCAATCCTTTAATTCAGAGCAAGTGCACAGCCTAAAGAATACCATGCCATTTATCTTTGGAAGACTAAGAAATTATCTCCTGCGTGGACCTGGAAAATCACCCAGTAATTCTGCCCCTTCGAGTTAAGCCTCTAGTCAGATAAAATTAGGATCAAAAGCCTGGACAAATTAACAGTAACACTGGCCACCTTGCTTAGAGGAAATGAATCAGTTAGCCATGCGGCCAGTCACTGAGGGAGACTAGGGAAGGGCAACAGGTGGCTGTCAACTTAGAGAGAAAGAGGGTCATCATCCACTTAGAGAAGAGCAGCAAGTCTGTCTGCCGCTCCCCGGGCTCTGCTAAGCTAAGCCCTGCACCAGCAGGAGGAAGAATAAGGTGAGTGGTGTGCGGCAAGGTTCAGCCAAATATTCACAAGTAGAACTTAAGCCCTGTTGCATCAAGCAAAGATTGGAAATGTATTATGGGTATGCGGTGTAATAAAACAAGGTAGCATCTCCCTACAATATTATTAACAATAGGATTAAAAAGCCTGCCAATATAAAACGTTTATTGTATCAATTACATAATTATAGTGTCAAAAGAATCAAAGTGAAGGCTTCTTAGAAATAAACATGTGCAAACTAGACCTCATCAAGAACAAGTGAAAGCTGTCGTTCTCATTTCTCATGTGTCTTACCAAGAGTTTAATGAGCTGTCATGACAGAACCATCTCAGTAAAAGATCCGCGGGAGTTTCCAAAGCTTTGTTTTGCACGTCATGCATCAGCAGGTAGAATAAATAACCACAATGACTATCAGAGATAGTTCTCACATCAACGTGACTTCCTTCAAGTGAGAAATGTCTGGGTCTTTGGTTTTTCTTATACTGCAATAGAAAAATACAGCCAAATTCAAAATCTGACAATTTACAGCCTAATAGCTTTTCCAGGCTTTGCGTTATTTTTACACTGGAAGCCTTTAGAGGAGGCACTGTGTGTCTTCGTGCAAGAATGTGTGCTTCTCCACATTCTTCCACTAACCATAGTGCTCTTCGCTAGAAAACCCTACAAGTCACTGGAAATGTACTTTGCAAGGGCTTGTGTATTAATTTCTAACATTATACATACATTAAATAGGGTGGAAAAACCATTAACACCTATTTATCAGTTACATCTCAACAGAAAGATGTGGGAAACAGAACTCAAGCCAACATTTCACAGAGTACATTGTAGTTTGTAAAAGCTTAGCAGTTATCATCCTCAGTTTAATGAAAACCCAGCCTCTGACAAGCCTATTGTATGTGTGTATGTGTTCGCACGACTGCCAAGTGCATGTGTTGCATATGTTTTCAATCAGCTCTTTGTGCTCGTTCCCTTACATTACTCAAAGACACTAGGAGGCCCAATAAAACAAAGTGACAGAACATAGTAACTCCAAAAACATTGAATGTTTTCAGGCACCACTCCGTGCCAGTGGTCTGTTTCTCAGAGTGTTGTTGTAATGATGTTAATTCTCGCTCAAATTAAAATCCTCGGCCAAAACTGCCACTGTGCAAGTTAAACAAGAACCTCAATAAAGTAATCCACTAGTAATAGAGGTCATTAAAGCTCATACCTCACTGGTGATATATACGGAGAAAGACAAATTGAGCATCATTAAGTGAGAGCTGACAAATGTACGTGTTATTATTACCCACCTATGCAGGCGTGAACTCTGATGGACAGATGTGTTCGAAGAATAACGCTGTGTTTCTTCCCCCTCCTGTAAAGAAAAAAAGACAAATGGTAAGAAGGAAAATGTTAGTTGACATTATTTCAATGTGTGTCTGTACATGTGTTTGTGTGTTGTCTGCTTGTATCTGTATGTGAAAGTGTGTTTGGGTGTGTGGTGGTACATCTGTATCGAGATAAAAAAAACTGTCTCTCTTAATCTAAGGCAGCCATCAATATGCCTGAGCTAGGCAAGTGCTGACAGGAAAATAATGCTGAATTTCAACTGCGCAGAGGTGCAAAAATGATGACAAACATAGCGTTCTGTGTCGTTAATTTAAACCCCTTCAATATTTGCAGCTTTTACACAACAGGGAACAGGTCGGGGAACTGACAGGGAAAAGGTCTCCATAGGTGAGAATGAAGGATGGGAGCATCTGAGAGGTCAGCTCCGCCCCCTGTGTTAATGGAGATATGGCAAGACCCTATCACTATCCTGTCAACTGCTTACAAGGTCTGAAAGACAATCCAAAACAAAGACAACAACAATGCACCGCATTTCTATTCAATCGTAGAAGTGAATGTGAGAACAGTGTAGTTCGTAGCCATCCAAAGAATCATTTGGATACCCAGAGGCCCACGCTCTAATTTGTGTACAAAGTTTAATGTTGAATTTGCATTTTTAAAGGATAATGTTGGCAATATTTCTTTGTCTATCTTAGTTAACCAAAACCACCAATACGTCCATATGTAGTATAGTCAATCCCTCAATATTTGACTACTTCCCTTCCTGTCGGTGACAGCCAGCCTATAGCCCATTAAATGCTCTCAACATTTAAATCTGTATAATTGTTCACAAATATATAGAAATCTTTAAAAAGGCTTACTTTTTGGTTTAAACAGTTGGAGACTGTCATTTTTTTTGTTTTAAAGTAACTCTGATAAGATTAAAATATTGGAGCTGTGGGGTTTGTTTGAGGGTTAGTGAAATTTAAATTGACTCAAAATAGACTACAATGTTCAAATAATATATTCAAATAAAAACAGAGTCACTGATGTGTTTTAATCGTTTTTGGAGAATAATAAAGTACAGTATATCAGGCTTCGGCTGCATCGTCAATACTTGATATGAGGATTGTTGACAATAAGAAAAATCTGGTTATTATTATCCTTAAAATGTATCTGTTTGCAGTCAGCCATTAAACATGACTGCCTGTGTATCTATTCTAAATGCAAACATAACTAAAACCTTACAAGAAAAACACGTTGTGTCATCTTATATAATTTGACATGTAAAGGCATTCAAACGAAGGTATTTCTATCCCATGTTTTGAATTTTGTTGGTGAGGGCCGCCCTTTTGTTTACATGTTGAAACAGAGATTGTGCCTTCAACCTCCTGACTAGACAAGAGCACAGCAGGTAGAGTTGCGCAACAACCCCCCCCTCCTAATTCGGCTCCCTGACAAATAGGCTTTTATGCCGCGTGCACAAAGGCTGTGTGATTGTTCCGCCTGGCGCAGTGCCAGCACCAGACTGTTACTCTTAGTGACAATCAGGCAGCAGTAGACCTGACAGGCACAGAACACACCATCAGCACAGACTGCAGATCACACTGGAGCCTCACCATGAACCAGCAGCAGCATTACTGCTCCTGAGAGACATTCTGACATCTTTCCTGAGAGACACACAAGCAGATTACATGACAGGGGAAATCTGAATATACTCATTACTTATTAAGTATAATATCCAGCAACAAGCAGAGATGACACAGAATCAACATCTGTCAACATGGACCTGTGCCTGCGAGATGAGACAGCAAACAGGAACTTAATCCTCTGTGATGCTGTTGAGGCAAATGGGTAACCAGATCCATTTTGTCACGAAAGTCTGCTTTCTCTCCGCTTGGCTGGAACAGTATCCCTATGCTTAACCAAGACCTGAGGCTACACAGGCCAACATGCTCATTATCAAATTAAACAAACGTGCAAAGAATACAAGTGAGGTTTCAGACCCCCCTCACCAATTACACATGAACATTGGACATTCCTACAGACAGTGCTGCAGGCCTGTCAAGGGTGAAGCTCAACATAATTGTAACTATAAAGAATGTCAGCTGAATAACAAATTGGTTAGGATACGCTGTAATACCTACTGAAGTCCCTCCTCTCTCTGTGCCAGAACGTTCTGGTCTCTTCATGTGCTGGTACTGTAGTTAACTTAAAGGTCCCATGTCATGCTTGTCCGGTTATTACCCGTCCCCTTGTGTGTAGCTTTTTCTGCATTTAAACGGTCTGCAGAGTCAAAAACCCTCAAAGTACACCCTGTAGCGAGTAAAACTCTAACACAGAAAATACCTGTCTATGCTGCCCCAGAACGCCTCGTTGGAGATTTTTCTTTTTCCATTTTTTTCTTCCTGAGTATGGTGACGTAACCATACCTAGGTCCAAATGGACCAATCCGTGGAGCTCCTCACACACACACGCTACTCTGCGGAGTTTCGCCGGCACACACCTTATCTTTTCTCAGCCTCGGCTCCGTGGATCTCCACTCACAGTTCGCCACACACTCACGTGTGTGTGCTCAGGCTGAGTTCCGTGGTGTCTCGCTGTCTCGCAGACCCCACGCAGCAACCAGGAAACGACACCAGTAATCCAGCTCACACTGTCCGCTCCTCGAGCCTCAAAGGGCGGAGCAGCAAGCCCCGCAACGTCCTGCCCACACGGCACTCATACCCACGGGCCACGCAGCATTCTCATCTGTTTGTCATTACTGGTGTCCTTTCCTGGTTGCTAACAAACGCCATTGTAACACATAATCACACATCAGAGCACAGTGGGCTCATAGGGAGGGGGGGGGGGGGGCAGGAGCTCCAACAAGGCGTGTAGGACAGAGAGTGAATACACATACTATACAGAGATGCAGTATGAGAAAACCAATGTGATTTTGGAACATTGCACAATGTAAATCTATTCTAGTAGACCTCAACAATGGAATTATGATCAGTAGAAATGGCCATGACATGGATGGGACCTTTAGGCCATGCATAAATTAAATCTGATTGATCATATGCACAATCATGCTTCTTAAATACCTTTGTTGCAGCTATTTGAACATCAAGGAATTTGCTTAATAATGTCATAAAATTAATTAACTTGTCAATTACCCAAAACTTCTTACTTATGTCTTACTTCCTGACCATTACCCAGAGCAATTGATATAAATTAGACGGCTTTATAAAAGATTCAATGAAAACATATGGCCATTTTTATTCATTCTGCACATGAAAAGAAGCCGAGCACTATAAATATTTTTACTTAATAGCACAAATCTGTTATTCATCATTATTGCGAATATTGCAAACAGGAATGCAGCTGTGGTAACGTAACTATACCTGCCAATTAGATACCACATATTATTTTCCTCTCTATTCTCCCTTCACTGCTCTATTATAGAGTACGCTCATAAAGCTCAGTCTTAATCCTAATACCCAACTGGATCAGTGGATACCTGCCAGCTTTATCTGAGGGAGCATTACTGGTTTATTAACTGAAAGAGTGTACCCACAGAAGGTGAACACTTATAACAATGCAGTATACAGTAAAGCCAGTTTACCTCTCCGCAAAGACCAATTAATGCCAGACAAAAAGGCCCCATCGAAGTCTACTGACGCAGCACTTCTTGGTGAACACCCCTGCATCAGTAGAGGGACCCGCAGAGACTGGGTGAACCGGAGGGGGGGGTGGGTTGGGAGACTGTATAATCAGCTCTTCACTAATCATTGACCAAGTCTCAAAACCACATACACACTGAACAATCCCAAAGCTGTTCTATTCTGTTAATAATACCCGTAAACTGCTCTCCAAACACAGAAGGGGCAACTGGTGTTTTATTTCCTCCTTGAAGTGTAAGCTGTACTGCGATTGACAATTGCTCTGGTTCTTTTCAAATGTGCTTTTTTTTTCTCACCAAATAAAAATCTTGTGTGCTGTTAGCGTCTACCAAACAATGTCCAAGTGGGGCATAGCAAAATGAGAATAAGGAAAGTGGAGCTGTCCTAAGAGAGATGAAAGGAGAGGATCGGATGGTTGAAGCACTAACAGTTGAGTATTAATATGCTTGACTTCTAACTGGTTGTCGAACACATCAAGAACACTCAATAAAAAAGAAAGGCATATTCAGCAGAAAACTGCTGGCTTTCAGCGGTGCTTTGTGTGTACTAGGACAGTGAAATGCAAAAAAAGTGTCAGCTACACATTTCACATGCTGAATCAATTATGAAGTCAACAACAGCACTTTATGTTATCTTCTTTAGACACGCTAGGATATGCCCTTGAGGACTTACAACTTTACAAATCAGCTGCCAATCAATGTCACATATTTGAGCAAAAAGTCATAAGCCGAACTCAAAACCCTCCAAATACAGTTCAATTTTCCGTTTTCAAACATCAGGCCCTGAGTAAGTGCCCCTGAAATGCTAAAACAGGATCTCGCTCTTCAATCCATGTAATCCAGAAAAACATTCAAGGACTGTAAACGTCTTTAAGCACATGTCAGGCCATCTGATCCTAACTACGTCCCCCATACTCCATCTGGGCTCAGGGTTACAGATGCAGGAAATTGTGTGTGTACAGGGTCAATCAATCTATCACAGCTAGGAAACTAAATGATACACTGACTACCTTAAACTGTGCAGATATGCCTGAGCGCATGTCTGTGCTATATGGTCAGATATAGCTAAGTGAGACTGTACCAGAGATGCGACAGGGGATTTATGAGTCACAAGCGCCTATAGCTGAGCTTCAAACATGGTGTGGAAGTGATTATGGCCCTTAAGCTCCCGTGACATGGATATCTCCTTGCTCTGCAGCGCTCTGTCAGAGGATCATACTTGAATCTGTTTGTAAAGACACTAGGTATGACACAGGCGCCTCAGGAATGTAACCTGCCATTAATATCAATTACAGTACAGATGGCCACTGATCAGGGAGGTTCAGGAACTCAAGCGCTATAGAGTACTATTTTCTTTGCAAAGGTAGGTGGCTGGGCTTGAAGCAATTATAATAAAAGCATAATTTTGCTTGTTAACTGGAGTGTTATTCTGACATCACGTTGTAAAACTCAGAAACAAATTCAGGGGAAATTAAACTCTTTTTAAAGTAGGTTAGATGTTTTGGACTCGAGACTGCTGTTGACAGATCTGCAGTAAAAGCAGCATGACATCAAATATACAATGGAACAAGAAAAGGTGAACTGGCTCATCAGACCTTTGTATTAGCTCAATAATCATCAAATCAACAACAGCGAGCTGTAGGGGATGTAATCCTGGGCATATCACCACCATAAAAAGCCAGAGAGCAGAACTGCCCTATTTATACAAAATAATTGGCTAACCACCTTTACCCCCAGCCTCCTCAGACAACACTGTGTGGGTTTAATGACACACATCCATACCAGTCAGTGCCAGCTGGCAGGACACAAGCCCTGGCAGGCTAGCTCCTCGACGAGAGAAGAAGTGGACCACTTTAACCTCACAGCCCTCTATAGCCTTCCATAAGCTCCGAACAATTTCAGATGGAACTGGGAAAGGATGGCATTTTCAACGTCCAATAGAAACACCAAGCTACAGAGCAGCTTATAAATTCCAAGTTAAACAAATAAATCCATACATGTTTGTGGTCCCACCGACCAGGAACTCCGATGCCAACCCTTGGTTTGTGATCATCTAAAGTGGGAGGCACTTAAATGATATATCAACATACTCCACAGTACATATAAAAACATATGGAGTCAATAAAGTAACTGACCAAAGAACTTGTATGAAACAGAAATGAAACTCACACACAATTTTAAGCCTCTCTTTTTTATCCAGGTCTATGAGTAATGTCAAAATTAAGCCTCATTTAACTCCATAAAACAATGCAGCTAAATTAGAAGCTGAGAGTTATTTGGTGGTGGGTTCACAATGAGAGCTCTGAGGTAACTTTCAATAGAGATGAAGGCAATTACTCATGGATGTGTCTACACCTCATAAGTGGTTTAGATGACATCACTGCTGCCACTGGGCCAGGGAGGCCAGGTATTTCAATATGAATGGATGAATGCCATGGAAACTCTGAGACATTTAGTCTGCAACTAAAAAGGGTGCTAATACCCCCAGTGAACTGATACAAAATATATAGGGCTAACTTTCATACATACAACTAAGATCAGGATTACACTTTTATATGACAAATGTCTTCAAAAGAGCAAATATTGTAATTTATAAAATGAACAAGTCAAATCAAGCAATCTGATTGGTTCTTAGCCGTGATATAATGAGCGTATATCACGGGTAGAATTGTAGTTAATTTTCACATGTCATGTATCCCTCCGCGTCTGAGAAAAGCTACAACCGTTACAACTGTTACATTACGTCCGTTACGAAACTAACAAAGCTTAAGATGGAAACATTTAAGGTTAACTTCGACCTCCGGGGTGGCCTTACTATGGAGGACTGTATTGAGCAGTGCCTATCTCCAGAAAAAGAAACACCTAAACGACGACATGCAGAGCTACGTGAAGAGCAGGTAGACCAACTGGAAAAGTACCACAAATAGCTTCACGTCAGGCCGAACCATGCCCCTTAGCTGTGATAGAATGACCATATACCACGGCCTGTCGTGAGCTATTGCTTAATTATATTTGACATATTCTGAGCCAATAAGGTTGAGATATTAGGTGATTGATTTAAAAAGGAATGAGTGAAGCTAATAACACTGATATTTAATTTAAACTTATTTTCCTTGAGAAAGAAGAAGCTTTTTGAAACTAAGAGACCCTCAGGTACGTGAAGGGTGTTCCCTCTGCTCCCCAACAGACCCCAACATCTCCTGAGAGCAGCCTCTGAGCAGCAGAGCTCAATCAGCTGAGGCCCGGAAAAAAGGGATTATTTCACTAATTCATACTGGAACGAAATGGGTATCATTATGATTCAAATCACTGTAATAGAATCAAATTAGGCAAAGGAATACAGCCTAATATATATCCCCATAGCCCCCCTTTATCTGTTCCCTCTAATCTCTCTACATATTTTATGTGTCTCCCTCTCGAAAAACAGTAATCACATTGTACTGATTATGTCTGACTGCTCAGGCAGAGACTTATTTTGGCTGTTTTAAAAAGACATATTGTTTTAATCAAAAACATCAGTTACTCTTGAATAATGCTTTTTTTTCATAACAGCTAATTGGACCACCACAACCTGCATACTTTATTTCCAGACAATCAGAGTTTGGCAAGTAAATCACATTATCAACCTGCCAGTCTCTCTTGTGAGCCGTTCGGGCACAGATCCCAAATGCAACTTTTGAAGTGCAAACAATATTGACCGACTTTAGGGAAGTATTGGAGAATGTTTTTCATTTCAGCACATTGTGTACATGCGATCTTTTGCTTTTGAAGTTTGGTGATAGTGAAGGGAAAGCAAAGAGAGAGACAGAGACAGCAGTGATTATTATCTTACCCTCCTTCCTCCTGAAATCCCTCCAGTTCATCTTTCTGCTCTGCCAGCGTAGACTCCAAGTCCAGGTAGCTTCCATTATGGGACAGCTGAAGGGCACAGTCGTCAGGCTAGACGGGAAAGAGACAAAGTTAAACATTGATATGTCTTCAATCCCAAAGGGTTATGTCATTTACACTTTAGACATGAAAGGAATGCTAAACATTAAGAAAGGAAGAGATTAAGTTTAGTTTATAGACAATTGAGGCTAAGAGCCAATGTCCTGCTGTACAAAATACTGCTTCACTCTGATCAGATTACAACGAAGTAGGGTCAAACCGATTGACTTGTAGACTCATGAACCATGACCATGTATGATATCAAAATGATGCGCAGTCAACCTTTCCAAATCTGTGAAGAATGTGAATGGCATAAAGCCCTGAAGAGGTTTGCTTTGCTGATGTGTGATACAGAAGATTGGTGTAAAATGTTGGAAATATTTCATAATGATATGCTTGTCTATTGTGATGTGTTAACACCTTTACTCTTGAATTCACAACTTCAGTTGCAATGATACTTTCTTACATCAAGAAATAAATGTTTTATGGTGGACATGACTTTTGTATCAATGGACAAATGCACAGCATATTTGAGGTTTATGTCTAGTCGTCAGTGGACCATAGAAAGCTATTTTATCAGCGCTCTACAATGACAAGCAGGGCAAGGGTGGAGAGAAGTCATGCGGATTTGGAGCAGTTTGGCAGACTGTTATCTGTCTGCTGCCCCTGTCTGATAAACTATCATCATACAGGATGATTTTGCTGAGGAGGTATGATTTGTCTGGTCCTGAAGGGTTGTCAACAGCTGACTGTGGTCAAGGAGATCAGGAATGAGTCTGAGTCTGTTCACTTGTCTGGATGACCTCCAAATTGGAGATATTAACCTATTTATATTCTGAGTCTGTCAGCTCCACAGGACCGCGGCTCCAACGGTGAAACAGAGGACGTGAAAACAAACATTTTTACGGTAGGGCAAACTTGGACTTAAGAGAAGAAAAGTGAAATGTTCTGTTTCATCAACAGCCAGGGTCTCTAAAACAACCTCATACTGTACAGTCCACTAATATACTTAAGTCAGTACATTTGTCTTCTCTTGTCAGCCCACATTTAAGGATTTGTAACCTAGCAAAGGCTAGGATACAAATGACTATTTACCCTTCCCAAATAGGCAGTCTGCTAGAGTATTTTCTCCTAAAAGAAGAGCACCACATGTAAATATTATGCAACATGTGAAACCATGTGTTTTTCAAGTTAGACTGGTTATTGCCAGGTCTGATGCAGTTCAATGTCCTCCCACATATGACAGTAACTTAATTGAACGTGAAGGAAAAAGGCTGGAAAAGACATTATGGGTCGGATGGCTTTGATCTGTTAAGCCACTCTGTTTGTATTACTGCACTACAGTACTCAAGGACTGTGTCATATTGGAGAAGTGAAACAAAACATGTGGTTGGTAAGGATAACTCTCGCTCTTTCTCCAAATCTGTGACTATGAGCTGTCTTGTTTGCCTTCCATGAATGGTAAAGCAAAAGATTATTGGTAATATAAGGGTTGGAGGTATCATAGTGCAGAGCAACTTTATATTGAGGGGCCAGAGATGAGGCGAAGCACAAGGCTGATGCAATCCAATCATGTGTGAGACAGTTAGGTCGTTAGATCGAGAGAAAGGGAGACAGGTAGACAAACAAACAAAGATGTACTGTACATATGAAGAGGAGGGAGGAAAGTGCTTCTCCAGATTACAGGACAGATTCTGGACAGACAGTAAATCCAGGCACAAGGGCCAAAGTTGGGCCCAAGATTGTTATGCCTATGAACTGATATGCCTTTCATAATAACGGCTGTGACAGTAATATGAAATGTAGCATGAAGGAGAAGACACACTAAATCATTTACGCTGAGTGGCTGGGCCTAACATTATGGGTAAGACTCTAAAACAAACCAAGGAAAATGGGAATGTTGCCCCTAATTTCTGAATCACCACACTGGTTAGCCTCTATCTATGTCCTAAATCCATAAACTGTTCCCAAATCAGTATTACCAGGGATGTGTTAGACTAGTGATTTCAGTGTTGATTTAATCATCTAAAACCATTTTCATTTGAAGAGTTTTGAGATGTTGTTTCTCTACAAGGGTTTATCCATCACTGCTTATTCTAACTATCCACACAAAATACAGAGAAAAAATACAATGGGCCCAAATGCTGTCACTTTACGAACGAAAATGTATAATTATTAAATTTACTGGTACTTTAAGTGATGTTGAAGTTTGTGGATAGGATACAAGAGCAAAGAAATGTTTGTTCTCTTTCAGCTTCACGCTCTGTATCAAAACCTGAAATAGACAAAACATTGGGCTGAATTCGCAGCCGTAACCAGTAATTAGCTGTGGAACTGAAAAATGCTTTTCCCCACACGAGGTTTAGACTCACAGACCAAATGGGGAAAGTAAAAGTGAACTATGTGAGTTGGTCATTAATCCATACTCTTTCAGTATATCAAACTCATCCTTGTTTCACATATCCATGCTGGCATGTGTGACGTTTTCATTATATAATCAACCTGGATTACTAAATCTTGCCATGTTTAACCACGCCAGGTTGATGCACATACATGACCCTTAATCCAGGAACAGGGCTAACAGATTATCAGTAGCAGACGCTTTCTTAGCTGTCCCCCGCCCAGGACTTGAACCCACAGTGGCCTGTGATGGCCAAGTCCAGAGAAGTAACCACCAGTGCTCACACACTGAGGTCTGGCCTCTCCCTTCAACCACCATACCGTGGTCCACTGACCAGGGAGGCAGTTAAAGCAGAAAGGGCTAAAAATAAACACCATGCAATTTCCAATTCAAAAATGCTATCTCATTCCAAACTTCCTTGGAATGAGATAGCATACACTATTAAACTCTTTTGCATAGTTTAACAAATGCAAACCCTGTGTTAGACTTAGACATTTTGTCTGTAGACTGCACTGTGCTCTAAATCAAACAAGAGGAATTAGAGTAGCCACTTCAAAAGCCAAACATTTGTTTAATAAAAGGTGAGGATGGTATTTGTGTATTTGTAAAACACATGATTTAAAAACACATTAAAACCCATTTGATACATGAAAGAGAAACCACAACAGAAATCTTACATTTCTGTCAAGCATGAGACTTTCCACGGATGTTGCATTCTTCTGAAAGGAGCCCTTTTGCTGAGACAACCCTCCAAACTGCAGTGACCATCGAAACCTCAACTCTGCATAACAATGTGTAAAATAATTCAAAGGAGCTCTGACAGGCATGGAGGAGGAACCTGTATTTTACAGCATTTAACATAACTTCTCATTATGGGAGTCTGTAATTTCTTAAGGAAAAAAATGTGACCCAAAAATCGAAATTGGTAAAGTGAGGGTCCATTCTCCAAGACTTAGCCACATTTCCCCTGCCTTGAATATTGCTCTGCAATCGGATGCCAGGCCTCAAGGCCACCAAGCCACAAACTACAAAACATTGACAAAAACAAGCATTTGAAGGACTATGGATCTATTGATTTATGATGACATAACCAGGACATTTGGAATAGCTCCCACAAATTCTGAATAGTATGCTCAAATGTCATTTTACAAGGACATTGCATTATTCATCACAGAAAAGACAGGCCGAGTCAGGAGATGACTCGTCATGTTTTCCATCCACAGTAGCTATGTAAAACTTGTTTATAGGCGATATGCTAAAGCAACACATGGTATTGATTAATGTTGGTGTCTTTGAGAGTTTGATTTCCATTAAAACCCTCAGATTATTCAGCGGTGGAACTGCATTAACACATTAATACATTACATACTGCATTCAAATATGATGATATGGCATTTTCCAAAAGACAACAGACTGAAAACTGACTTAAAAGTGTGTCTACTGTCCTGACAAACTCTTGTTGCTAAACAACAAGTATTTAAGGTTTGAACCCTTGCTATAAAATATAATCCTTGCTCATGATGGCTTTTGATGTTATAACTCCACAAACAGTCATTCGAACAGCTGCATGGCCACGGTGCCATCCCATGTACAAGCCACAAACCAATCCAACACATGTACACACACAATATAAACAACAACCACACACACATGAACAGATCACCACTCTTGAGACTGCAGAATTAAACTGACAGGAACAGCCCAGAGACAGCATATGCGAGCTGTTTTGACTCCCTCTGCACCATGTGTTTGCAGCGTGCTATTTATACCAGACTGACCTGCACCATAGAGACGGCGCTCAAAGACAACAGACTTGCTGTTGAAGTCTTTAAAGGGTCACGGCAAAGTCATTTTTTCAAAAAATGTTAGGGTTTTAATCAGACCTCAATGCTCAATGTAGAAACATAGTGTCCTCCACCTGAGTGTTATTGTTTTATGAAAACCTCAAGGGGCTGCGGGGCTGCTCTTTCGAGTTACTGCTTACCACAAATGCCCGTGTGACCAAATGTTACTAACCAGGCGCTGCTGGGCCTACCACTGGTACTCCCTATCGGTCTAGTTTGCGGTCCAGCTGGCCTAGTGCTAAAATGAGACCAGTCGACTGTGCAAAGTACATCAGCTCTTTGTTTGTGTTTTTAATTCTGCCCGCTTCCCGCTCTCTCAAGCAGTGGAAAGCGTTCCCGTCCCATCCAGCTGGTCAGACTGAGTGGGCTGCAGAATGAGAGCCAGGCTTGTGGTGATCCACAGCATCCTGGCTCTCCTTACTTATCTTACCAGCTGTTCTCAAACTACATGGAGTACCATTGATCTGACAGAATAAGGAAAGACTCTAATTTCATTTCTATTCATGTGACTTCCCGGCAAGACTAAGATAAATACCCATTGAAAGATTCAACCTTTGATGCTATGGGCACTTTGCTTTGTTTAAATATGAAGGTCAGAAGATGAGGCCTTAAGAAAATATGTTTGGATGCAGTCTGATCAGAAGGCAAGAATCAAGAGAAAATAAAAATAATCTATGCTTCAGGTTAACATTATTTGTCACTGGCTGTCTTTAGGAAACGTAAACAAGGCAATTTACACTATACCAAAGCGGAATGGCCAGTTATTTTGGGCTGCTTAAAACTGGCTGTGCAGTTGTGGATTTTAGGAAGGCCAACTTTTGCAACCAAAACAATGTGTACGGTTTCACCTCTCAACAGTTAGGACTACATTCAGACAGACGTTATGTTGCTGACCAACCACAACAATGTAGAGGTACTACAAAAGGAATTTGGCTTTTTACTAAGGAAATAACAGAATAGGCTCATGGTAAGATGTTAACCATCAGAACTATTGTCTTTCACTGCACATGGTTTCAAAGTTGTGTTGGATCAAGTGATTGCGAAAATAAATCCCCAGATCTATGACAATTTGGTTAGGGAATTACCCTTTTCCATCCCTCAATAACAGACCAACTGGGTATTTGAACCCCCTCACTCTAATTTACACGGTGTAGTGACAATAGCAGAAGTGGTTTCCTACATCAAGCCTATCCATTAATGGTTACAGAAATGCAAAGTTGGCTTATTTTCCATTAAATACTTTCAGAAAGAAATTGCAGATCCTAGTTAGTCAAGAAGAACACTATGTTGAGTTGATTGAAAATTAAAGTAAACAAACAATCATCGATTTTAGATTGAGTAAAAACAAACATTTGCCTTATCAATTTCCTCCTTTGTTTGTTTATTAAAAATACACATTAACTGGAACAACACTTTAAAATATATCTGCTCCTCTAGCTAATGGGTAGTCAGAGAAACAGGTCAAACTGAGGGGATTAGTGTTGTGGTTGAGGTAAACATTAACTAGATTACTGCTCTTCAGCCAAACAGTGGGTGTATACATAGTTCCATCATCATCTAAAGTCACCAAATACACCATAATGTCAAACTATAGGTGAATCCTACTGACACTGTGCATGCAGTAACTGAATGCATGTTGATGCTTAATCAGCATCCCATAACAGCAAGCTGCTTAAAGTCGCAGGCTCTATGATAGTTTATTATGTTTGCTTGGTAACCCCATGTTCAAGCTAATTATTAATTTAGCATTTTGCAGGTGAAAACTGATCACTAAGCTCCTTTAAAGAGACATGAACAAAAACATCACCCAGAAAGAAATAAGTAGTGCATACCTTGTGTGGGGCTTTTAGCAGTCTGTGGATTCCAGCAATCTGATTTATCAGAGGAATATCTTCCCTGAAAGTGAAAAGTGGTGGCCTGGTGGGCTCGGGGAAATTGGTGCTGTTAAATGGATCAGTATCATCTAAGAACTGCACCCTGCATATAAACGTAGCCATGCTGCATCCATGCAAGGCGATTTTAGATAATTAAAACAGTGGATGCGACACCACAGCCCCTGACAGAAATGGCAGCCCCCCAGGCAGCGAACTACCGGCAGGTCTTCTGCAGTAGCACAGTCCTGCACCCCTCTGTTATCCTTGGACCTTCTCCATTCGCAGCGCAGAGGACTCAGGACAGTGAACGCAACACTCCAGTAGTACAGATCCAGGGTACCCCGTTAAGATTGACGGTTAATCGGTGTGGAAGTGAGCAGGGTGGCAGTATCCAAGGGCATAGCGGGCGTTAGAGGTGCTGAGGCAGACTGCGGACGGACTGCCACTCTTGGACTGTGAGAGCGATGGGAAGCGGCTCCCTCCTCAAGCATAAACTCTGCTGCCAGGGGACACAGCAGTCAGACCTCAGCCGGCAGACTCAGCTCATATTACAGGCGCAATGGCGGCCTCCAGTGGCGAACATGAGAAGCACACAAAAACAAACGCAGCACTGAAACTGGCAGTGACTCAACCATGCAGGGCCAAAGTTCTTATTATACATCCATGGCCCAAGCCCCCAGGAAGTGCGCCGGACTCAGATGAAAATATTCGTGGTGGCCAAACGGCGGTACTGCACTTCCGTTTGGTTGCCAGGCCCGGAAACACTTTTTCCCATTGACTTACATGGGGAAAGAGTGGTCTGTAAATCGTTGGATACTTTTTTTTAAACTAAATTAACTACCCAGTATGAACACTTGTATAGCCCTTATTAAAAAACATTCGTTCCTCAAGTTGTAAAAATGTGCTAATAACGTTATTCTGAGAGTTATTTCCCTCTGCATTATGAACGCGCATCTAACCCACGGGACATCGCCGCCCGGCACGTTCATGTGACGTGTTCAGCATGGTCCCGACCAATCAGAGCACACTGTGCTCACAGGGAGGGTGGGGGCTGGAGCTATTGGAGCTACAACGAGCCGTTAAAGGCAGAGAGTGAAATTCAGTGAATACACGTAGTTTACAGAGATGCTGTTTGAGAAACCAATGTGAGTTGGGTTTATCTTTACCCATGGATGCACAATAAGAACGGACCCATATCGTCTTACTGCCATCCCACGGAACTGTAATCATGGATATATTGCACATGTTTGCTGTAATTCATTATTATACTACATGGGCAGTATGATTACATATTGTACCGTAAATGTTGTATTAAATAATTAAGTTAATAATACCGACGTTATTAACGTCCCTGTAGCTTCGTATTGCCAGGGTTGCCAACTCTCGCAACTGGCGTGTGACACACGGTTTCACTCTCTCACGCTGCCCAAACTATTCTCACGCCAAAACAAGAATACCGAAGACTAGAAACGGTTTTGAAAACTTTTGTCACGTAGTTTGATCGTCTTCTCAATAGAACATCTTTGATAATGTCTTCTGGCAATCAGAATCAAGATACCGGCGTGGTGTTGTTGCAGGAAGTCCCGACGGAGAATACTTTTGCTGTAGTACATCTCTATATACATCGATACAACATTACGTGTTGATAGAAATCAACACGTAATTAAATAAGACCCCACGGTTTGATGATTGATAGGTGTGTGGGCTGTCTTTCATTTTGACACACAGAACAATGGGGGCTATCCACCCTTATCCACAATGTAAAGTCATTCACACAGCCTCTTCCCTCTTCTCTCTGTGAGGAGCAGCAGGTTCAGCTTTCAGAACAAAGTAAAAAAAAACTAAAATGGCATTCATTTTTTTAAATATGTCCTGTAGTAATAGATGTATTTATTTTTCTTCTCAAGAGAGTACCAGAATGTGTATTTTATGTTAGTATTTCAAAAAATCTCCTGGGGGAGAATCCCCCCAGACAGGGGTTGGGTTTTCAGCATGTCAACTCTTTCACCTGTGGGGAAGTTGCAGCATTGGCTCCAGGTCGCCCTTTTTATTTACTACAAGACAAATGTGCCTTTTTATTTCATACAGTTCAATTTGGATTGAGACAAGGAAATAATCTAAACCTCACGCATGGCGTTTCACTGTCAAGGGGAGCGTGTATGTAATTACATTGCAAATACTGACTTGAGCCCCACCACTGTATGGGTTAACCGTTAGCCCTACCATAGATTACCCAACAAAAATACTCCGTGGCCGCCACTGCCGCCCCATATTGCGCATGCGCAGATCTAAGATCCAGTAGAAATGATAAAAAGTAAAAGTCTGCTGCTTATTGTTCTACTAGGCCAAAATAGAGTCAAAGAGTATGAGAGTGAGAGTGTGTTAATTAATATATTTGGCAGTTTGGAGTAAGTCTGTAGATGTGTTTGTGTGTGTGTGTATAGGCCTCTCACGATAATTTATTTTGTTGGATACATTTTCCCGGAAATTATTGCGATAACCGATAATATTGTCGACACCGTTGTATGACCATTTTAGACCACTGACATACTGATAATATATAATAATAATTCAAGTACATCCTTTCAAACTGCTAGTCACATCCTCATGTAAATGGCAATTTATCGAGTTCATTTTTATTTATCGTACGATAAGTCAATTAATTGCTTATCGCGACAGGCCTATGCACACAATAAAACAGTGGAAACAAACATGTGTTTGACTTTCATTAGTGAATGAAACTGTGTGCCCTTTATATTCTGTGTCCAATATTGTGTCTTTATTGTAAATATATATCCTATATATATGCTAAGGTCCCGCTACTGACACGATAGCAGTCATTTCGTGCGCATATGTGTAATCAAACCCATGATACCAAAATCTCACTCCAGCCAGGTACCCAAAGTTGGCAACCCTGGTATTGCACTGTATATATATATATATATACAGTGCAATAATTATTTCATGCTAAATGAAGCTCTGTTGCTTGGATATCACTAGATCCTGTTACAGCGTAATATAAGTACATAACGATTGATGTGTACATTAGCATAATTTCTAGCTAGCCGCTAGCTGCTCACTGCCGCCTCATTAATATCAAATCCATCATAATAACAAATCATTACCATGCTGTCATGAACGCGCGGTTCTGTAATTTACGTGTACGCAAATTGACGTGCTTGATGTGAACGAGCATTTTGGTTAAAGTTGCGCATGCGCTATGAGCGCACATACGGGTACTTCTCAGGCATGCCGGGTAATCTGTGACGTTTCGCTCTCTCAAAAGTTTGGCCATTTTATCATCATGCGCTAATGAGCAACTCTCATAGGAATTAATGAGGCCCCGCCTCCCACACTGTATCCAGTTCTTATTATACATCCATGGCAGGCCTAGCAGTGCAATTATTTAATTAATTGACAAACGTCTTGTAGTCTTTCTAGATAAATGCTACGGTCTATAGCAATTGTACAGAACTATTGCAAATAAAGGAAACATGACAAAACAACATGACAAGTAGACAGACTCCCTCCATAATTTGACATAAATAAAAGGCAGTCGGGGAAGAAATGTCCCAAGTCGGCCTACTGAACTAAACAAGCTACAATTATGAGGTCATTGTAGGCCTTATTGGGTATTGAATATGGTAGTTACTTTATACTTCTTCTCTACTACAGAGGGTAGGTATTGTACTTTCAAAACGTGTGTTTGATCGCTAAACTTCAAATACTCAAAATACTATATAACCAACTAATGAATTATTATGCATTATTATACATGTAATGTCAAGTTAAAAAAGAATAGCAATGGTCTCAACGTAAGCAGCTGAAACGATAAAGCACTGAAAATATGAATGCATGAAAAATGATAATTCCAATAATATACTGTATATAATCAGGGATGCAAACTTGTCACCTTTCGGCGAAATGTGCCGTTTTGAATCCAAAATAGGTTGTTTGTGTGATTCATGTAGATCTGCAATAAAAATATTTTTGGGGTATGGGGGGGGTCTGGGACCCGGAGTAATCTGCGGCCGCGATGTGCCATCATACACGCATGGTGTTCTTTTTTTATATATTATAATGAAGCGCGAGTTATGTGCTCGAGTCTTCCTGCCAGTCGGCTCTGCTCATGGATGTATAATAAGGCTCTGCTGCTCCACGATGAGGGTCTAGCTTCAGCAGCTACATTACCTACGGGTGCGTTCGTTAATATTAACTGTGTGGTCCGGAGTCACTGTGGCACAGACTGGACCGCTGGTGAACAACTGTTAGAACGGGCCGTTCAGGTGTTCAGAGCAGAGCTCCCTGTCAGAGCGGCAGAGCGTGATGTGCACTGAGAAGGTTTTCTGTCGCAATATTATTTAAGGAATCGTTGAGCTAGCTAACTAGCATACTTTGTCACTATCTGCTAACGTTAGCTTTAGACTTCGTTTTCTAATAGTTTTTTCATAGGCTATAAACAGAGGTGGTATAAGTATAGATATTGTACTTGAGTAATAGAAGCACTCAGATCTTGTACTAGAGTAAATGGTAAATGGACTGTACTTATATAGCGCTTTATCCAGTCTTTACGACCCCTCAAAGCGCTTTACATACTACATGTCATTCACCCATTCACACCCATTCATACAGAGCGGTACCACTTGCTCTAGGACCTAACATTCACACACATTCACCATGCCATCGGGAGCAACTCAGGGTTAAGTATCTTGCCCAAGGATACATCGACATGTGGCTGGGATCGAACCCACAACCTTCTGGTTGAAAGACGACCGCACTCCCTCGCAGCCACAGTCGCCCTCGAGTAAAAGTAGAAGTACTCAGATCTTGTACTTGAGTAAAAGTAGAAGCACACAGATCTTGTACTAGAGTAAAAGTAGAAGTACTAAGATCTTGTGCTTGAGTAAAAGTAGAAGCACACAGATCTTGTACTAGAGTAAAAGTAGAAGTACTAAGATCTTGTACTTGAGTAAAAGTAGAAGTACTCCGATCTTGAACTTGAGTAAAAGTAGAAGTACCAGAGTGTAGGAATACTCGGTTACAGTAAAAGTCCTGCATTCAAAATGTTCCTCAATTAAAAGTAGAAAAGTATTATCATCAAAATATAGTGAAGTAGCGACAGTAAAAGTAGTCACTGTGCAAATTGATCCATTTCAGAATAATATATCTGATATGTTTTATAATGATTGATCAACCCTCTGGAGTGCGCATAATTTTACGTACTTAATCATATATTTTCGATTATAAGGAGTAGAAATATGATTCAGATATCCGCGGAATCGCTGGAAGAGTAGCTTTCCAGCGGTATCTCCTGTGAGACTGTAACCAGGGCACAGCAGCCAATATGGCCGCTCAAAGCAGCTTGACTTTACACTGTGTGGGATTGGTGGATTCGTGTGTCCGTCAAGGAAATCTCGACCGGCAGCCATCATGGTCTGAAATGACCAATGGACATCAAGAAATCACTAAGGACCTACCCACCAAGTAAACAAAACATAAACCACG